GGCACCGATGTCCTCCATTCTTGATAACAACGCCTGCCTTCCCCAAAGAGGCAAGAGGCCCTGCTGGGAAGCCAGCAGACATTTCCCACCCCTTCCCAGCAATCCCTACCTGCCCCCTGCCCCCACCCTAAGTGCTGGGACAGTCACTAGGGTCCTTGCTGTCATTCTCTAAGAGATTGGACAGCCCCTCCACAGAGCCCCAGGGAGCCCCACAATGTGAGCTCTAACAGAGGGACCCCAAAGGACAGTGTGGGCAGGAAGACCACGCAAAGCGCTGAACTCAGGTGGCCTTGGCCTCAATTTTCTCATCTGGGAGTGAGGCCCTTGGCTCTGGAAAGCTCAGACCACCTGCACCTGTGCGATGGGCTTGGGCTGGGAGTCCTGGCCTCTCTGTCCTCCTGGCTGGCCTGAGGCTCGGGCCCACCTCTCAGCCTCCTTGCTCTTCGTCAGCTTTCTCTTCTGTAAGGTGGGTTTAGCACAAGGACCAGGTGCTGGGTGCTGTGGCTCCCTCTGCCCTCTCTGCTCCTGACCCGTCAGATCCACATGGACCCTGTTGTTACTCCTCCCTGTTCTTTACCAAGAAACTTTATAGAAAAAAGTGAGGCTCAGAGAGGGTGTCTTTCTCAAAATCACACAGCATGTGTGACAAGGTTGGGCCTAGTGGGTCTTCGGTCTCTAGGGTCTTCCTTGGGGACTTTCCCCCGAGCTGGGTGCTGCTTTCCTGATAAACGTGGCCACGTGAAGAGGACGGGTGGTGGGCGTGGGGTCCCAGTGTTCTCTTCACGCCAAGGACGTGGAGGAGCTCATCGGGGGCCTCCACCCACGAGATGCTGGGCCAGGGATTTCCACCCAGAGCTCACGTTAGCACCTGCGTATCCTTCTCTCCTCTCCCCGGGAGCTTTAAGATGCCGGGAAAATGGGAATGACTTAGTAACGAGTTCGTTTAATTGGATTTCCCCCAGGACTGGTATTCAGAGGTTATCGCTGCATGATTTCCTGAGTGGCCCATGCCAGAGTTTTGCTATAGCATGTGCTTCTGTGTAGACATATGTGTGTGTGTGCCCTCCGCTTTCAGAAGTGCCACAAACAGCTCTTTATCCTGCGGGCGCTCCGCTCCTGGCCCCGCCCCTCATGCGAGGGAAACCGCGTCTGCAGCAGAGAGGAGGGCAGGCGGCTGCCGGCTGGGCCCAGCGAGGAGTTGTGTCTGGGATGGTGTGTTGTAACTGGCAGCCTGGCACATGAGTCACTGGCCAAATTAACTCGTTTCCTTTGGGGAAAATGTAATCAGTTATTGCACTCTGTTCCATTTTAGCAAATTAACTCGTTCAGTTTTTTATTTCTATTTTTTAAATTTGGGGGGTGGGTGGGTACCGAGGGGGAGGAGGCTGGCAGAGGCGGAGGTGGATGGATCCGAGACAGCTGCTGTGCGAAGGCCCTGAGGGCTGGGAGGACAGACTGCCAGGGAAGATGTGGCCTCGGGTCCTGCTGGGCCGGGGTGGGGTGTGGTGGTGGGAACACACATTTGAAGAACTTCATTGCCTACAAAGCACGTTTCCTAGAGACTTTTATTTTCTGTGCCCTCCAAGTAGAAGAACACGATAGCTTCGTAGTGAGCCAGTGGCGGAGGCGTCTTGAGGTCTGAGCAGGACTCCTAGGACCTATTGTCCCATTGGCCAAAGACAGCGGTCCGGAAGCTCCCACCCGCCTGCCTGTGTGTGAATGACCACACTGAAGTCACGCACGGGCGCGGCGGGGCCTCGCCCCACTTCCACTATCACCTCTACCCCGGGGCCAGGCATGGCAAGCCCTGCTTCACAGGCGACGTGTCTGCCTTCTGAGAAGTGCACAGTGGCACCAGCCCCGCGCCCATCACCTCTCAGCACGGCGGGTGCCCCTTCCCCCTAAATGCTGGGGATACAATAGGTATTTGATCTTAAAGAGCCCGAGAGTGCCTAAGGATTCAGACCCCTGGGGTCTCCCTGGAGGATGCTGGGGCCTTGTGAGCTCCCAGCTGGCCAATGACATCTGTCTCTAGTTGGGGCCTGGTGTACCTCCTTCGTCTCCTGGGAGGTCCACCCTGTCTCGGTATCAGGCCCGTCACTGTGCAAGCCTTACCAGCTCAGGCTCTCTGAGAAACCTTCCAGACTATGCCCAGCCCATGTGCCTTCCTCTACCACCTCCCGCTGCTCTAGACCGTGCTATGCTAACCTGGGGTGCCAGATCTGTGTCCACCGTTGGCATGGCGAAATGGTGCAGCAGCCATGGGATATAAGTGGGACGGGCCTCCATCTGGAGCCGCCAGTCTGAGCAGAGGGTGAAGGTGTAACCTACGCCTGTGCCTCCCTGGCCTAGTTTGGTCCGGGCAGAGGCAGCTGCAGGCAAGACCTGGGACACTGGGCCTGAGGAGCTGTGTACAGGCCTTCTACCCAGAGCCTGGGTGCCAGAGGGGGACAGCTTACAAAGGGAAGCATCCCCCACCTCGGCCTACAGATGGGGTGTCCTGGGAGGGACCTTCTTGATGGCAATGAGAAAGGAGCTTCTGTACAGCCTGATGTTCTCGTTGGCAGCAGAGAAAACGCTGAGCTCATGTGAGACACTGCATGGCACTTCGAACTGCTTTTGGGAGGGCGGTCCCGTAGTAGCAGGGGTGGGAGTTGAGAGTCATAAAAACAGGACTTATTACAAGAAAGTGGCTGATAAGGCCTAGGGAAATTCTGGATATCACAGTTGTAAGGGTGACCATTTATTGAGCAGTTTATATAAGGTCTTCCCAATAAACTTATAATGTAGGTACAGTTTTTATGCCCATTTTAAAGCTAAACAAACGGAGGCTTCGAGGGCAATTGGTGAGTGGCAGAGCATTTGACAGCAAAGTTGCCCTTAGGCCCTGCACTGGCTGCCGGTGGCACGTGCCTGTGTCAGTCCATGGCTTAATAGCTGAGTCACCTCTCTAATGTAGGAAAGAGCCTCAGGGCTAGGCAAGACCCTCAGAGTTTTGGGACCCTCTTGGTTCCTGGCATAGGCCAGGCAACTGCAAAGTGGCTCCTAGAGACCACTCTAGGATGGTGGGTCTCTTCTCTGATGGTGCCCCATGTCCTGACGGCTCAAATTCGGGGCAGCCTCTCTGGCCAGGACGCTGAGAATGGTGCTTTTTTCACCTTGACCACCACCAGGAGAACCCCACTGGACCTTGATCCTTCCTTAGTCAACCCCCATGTGTGTGCAGCCCCCAAGCAGCTGGGCTGGGCCTCGGCGCCAGGAGCTTCTTCTGGGTCTCCTGAGCCCTCTCCTGCCAGGAGGCCTTTACTTCTGCTGGACGCATTGTCTCATGGCCTCCATGGGGCTAACCTGGATGACCATCTCCTTAGAGAACAAAAACAGGGGGCATTCTGCCCTGACCGGTTTGGCTCAGTGGATAGAGCATCAGCCTGCAGACTGAAGGGTCCCAGGTTCGATTCTGGTCAAGGGCATGTACCTTGGTTGCGGGCACATCCCCAGTAGGAGGTGTGCAGGAGGCAGCTGATCGATGTTTCTCTCTCATCAATGTTTCTAACTATCCCTCTCCCTTCATCTCTGTAAAAAATCAATAAAATATATATTTTTTAAAAAGAGTGGGCATTCTATCCTATAGGATACCTATGTATATATGTATGTATGTACATACATATATATATACACACGTAGAGGCATGTACATACATACACATGTACATAGGTACACACACACACACACACACACACACACACACACACACACCAAATGTTAATTGGAACTACCCCTGGGTCATGAAATTACCAGTGATTTCTAGTTCCGTCTTTATGCTCTTCTGTATTTTCTAAATTTCCTGTGATGGGCACATAATAGAAAAAGTAAAACCAAGAGCAGCTCCCAACCACGGGAGGCAGTGCTCATGGAGGCCTTTCTTGGACCTGAACAATGGCCCTCGGGGCTCTGCGTGTCTGAGCGGGCAGCTGGGGGCTGTGGGCGCGATGTGGGGTTGGGGGTTGTAGGGGAGATGCGCATTCTCAGGACAAATGCAGGAGCCTCCTGGGCCTTCTGGAGCACATCTGCAGTTGTCTGCAAGACATCTTGACTCACAGTTAACTGCAGCTCATATTCAATCAAGCAAGAAGCCCCCACATTGTCAGTGCTGAGGGGTGGAACCCACACTCTTCATCTCCTCTTTGTAGCAGCTGTCCTCTTTCCCACTGGCTGGATGCTGACAGCGGAGGCGTGGTCAGGGATGGGCAGTGTGGGTGTTCACAGCCCAGGAGACCGGCTTGGGCCCCTCACCTCCTTTGGGGTGCTCATGGGCACTGTTATTTAGACGACGTGGCATCCAGGCTTGTGGGTGCTGGACTCCCTCTGTGCCCACCAGATGCCCGACTTTGTGAGTAGGCAGAGAGAGGGATGGGGTCAGGACCTCATACAGGTGCTGGGCCCAGGCTCCATTCCAATCGTGCTGGGTGTGTCTATAAGTCCCGCCACCCTGCAACCAAAGTGTCACAGCAGGGCAGAAACTGAAGCGGGCACCACAAGGCCAGTCTGGCCGATAGGTTAGTGTTTGTCATCAAGCCATTGGTGGGTGGTGTCAGGTGATCAGAGCAGCGCAGGAGGGCCTTGGGAATAGAGTGTGCAATGGCTCTGTGTGGCTCATTCCATCCCGGGGGTGTTTGGACAGGCACGAGGGCATTATCGGTCACCACAATCCTGGGAGGGGGAACTGGCAGTTGGTGGGCAGGGGTGCCCAGGACTCTACTGTGCCCAATGGGCCTGCTCTGGGAGGAATGGTTACTGCATCCCACTCAAATTGCAAATATCCCACCAGACATTCCAGTGGGTGAGAAATCGGTTCAAAATGACCTGGGCCTAGAACTAAAGTCTGTTTTACATATTAACATACAGCATTTTTTTTTGCACAATTCTAACATACACTGAATCTCCCAGGAATGCAGCAATAGTGGAAATTGAGGAGAGATTGTCCTTTGTTCTGTCATAGGATTTTACCAAGAGCGTTCACTGTTTCAGACAGTCACATCCCCGAACTCAAGGCTGCCCATGGTATTTGAGTGGCCGATACAACAGCACGACGTCAGCCTGCATTTTGAAATGCCACATTGGTGGTGAGTATATGAACAGGTGCCCCAATTCCACTGCTTCATTTTGTCCTCTAGTGTAGACATGCCCAAGCATTTACATATTATTAAAATATTATTTGATTATAAATCACTCTCCTTTTATTTTTCCTTTATATACAGGTTAAGGCATTGCTATGTTAATGTGTAAAATTATGTATGTGGATAGGTTATATTAATGATGAACTTAATTTCTGGAGAGAAAAGGAGATGTTACAAAACATTTCTTTATTATTATTATTATTATTATTATTTATTGATTTGAGAAAGAGAGAGAGAGAAACATTGATTTGTTGTTCTACTTATTTATTCATTCATTGGTTGATTCTTGTATGTGCTCTGACTGGTGATCAAATCCACGACCTTGGCATATCTGGATGATGCTCTAACCAACTGAGCTGCCTGGGCAGGGCACAAAGCATTTCTTATAGGAGGGGATGCGGAGTCTTAGAGAATGAGGACTACTGAGTCCTCCAATTCATAGATGGGAAAAATGGGTCCAGGAAGGCACAGTAAGCTGCCAGATGTCACATCATGAAGGAGCAGAACCAGAATTAGAACCCAGGTTTCCCAATTCCTGGCCCAGGGCTCTTTCTGCTCACTCAATAGCTTTTGATAGCCTTTCTCAGCTTCTTCTCTCATGACAACTCCATTCCCTGTTATAAAGGTGGATGAAAGATTTTTTTAAACCTGTGGACTTTTGTTTGTAATTTATGGAAACTTTCCAAACAGCCAGCGAGGCCCTGGGCTGTGTGAACCCAGCAGCTTGCTGATGTCCAGGGCCTCTCCCAACTGTACCAACCTGTCACTCTGGCCAGACTCCTTCTGGGCCAGGCTGGGACCAGGGGGCGGGGCCAGATGACCTCCCGTGACCTCATCTAGCCCAGACACAATTTTCTTCCCTTCTAGATAGTTTTCCAATCACCAAGTGAATCTGAGACTGTCTATTCTTTCGACGACTACCTTTCAACTCAAGTTATGGTTTTATAAATAATATATATGGCAAGTCAGTGCTGGGGGAAGGACGCTCATTCCGCTCTGAAATATTTATGGCCCGGAGTGTCTGCTTACTTTTCTTCAGAGTCATTTTTTAGCACAGCGTGCGGGAGAGTGCGACAGCCCAGGGCATCGTCGGAGGCAGCAGCACGAATAGTCCTTCCAGCCTGACTGCTGGGCCTATCCATCCCATAGCCGACAGGGAAGATGGCAGCTCTGCCCAGGGAGCGCTCCCAAGCCCAGACCTCCTAAATTATCTCAGGGAAGACTGTGTCGGTGACAAGAATCGGCGCCACTGCCTTTGAGACAGACGTTGCTTTCCAGTGTGCAGTTTGAATAATAACAGACACTGCATCAGGCTTTTTCAAATAAGATCTTTAACTCTTCAGCCTTTCTGAGAAAGTGTGCATTATAGCTCTCACTTCACAGGTGGGGAAACTGAGGCTCAGAAAAGTTAAGGCATTCCTTGAGGTCTCTCCATAACCAAATAGCAGTCTGGAGTTCTACCCAGCCTGGCTGAGCCCTCATCTCAATCTTTTCTCCTGTACCAACCTGCCACCCATGCTGACCCATCACTCAGCCGTAGCTGGGAGCTAGTGAATGGATTCCAGATCAGTTTCCATGGCAGTGCCTGCCCGTCTGCAATGTTTGAACTGCTGGGGGGCTTGGATCTGGGAATGACAGTCTGTGCTGAACAGCAGGCTTGACTCCCAAACCTAAGGCGATGGATGCATCCTTGCATATGCTTAAGTGCGGCCAGATGGGAGCCTGAATTGAAGAATGATGGTGCTGGAAGGACCCATGGAGTCATCTTACCTGACTCCCATGTTACAGGTGGGAGATTAGGAGCATGACAAGGACTTGTCCAAGGCCATAGTTGGAACCTATTGATCATGATGGTCTATCTTGGAGTCCAGACTTCTGGTCAACCTCATCTCTCTCCTCAAACCCCTTTTCTTATAGGAGAAAACTGAGACTTGGAAAGGGAAGAGCTTGATCAGAATCACAGGGGTGGAAGGATATAGAGCTGTGTACTTCCTTGGTCTGGCTGTAAATCCACTAGTGAGTTAAATCATTTTGAGACTGCAGTTGAGGAAAAAATTCCTGAGCATTTCTGAACTAGCTGACCATGAAGAAGGCTTTAGTTCATAAAATATAGATTTTAATCAGTGATTGGAATTAAGTAGTGAGGACAGGAATATAGGGCAATTTCCTATAGAAAAAAGGCACTTATATTTCTGTAAGTTGGTGACCCTAGGGCGGGCTGGCTCTGAGTCATCATCAATGTGGCGGGTGACAGAGAATGATTGTGAAGTCAATGAATGACAACATTTCTGAAAAAGTCCAGTTCAATCTTGAGTCAGAAGGAACTGTTGAGCTGTCCTACCCTGGCTGCCTTTGGCCTTCCCCTGCCATAGGAAGCCCGCCTTGTGGTAAATAGTCTTTAAAGATGGTCCCCACAATGAATCATGATTCTTGGTATTCATGCCCTTGTATTGCCTTCTCCCTCTTGAATATGGGCTGGCCCTGTGTGCACCAATAGATTGTAGTGGACACAACTGAGTGACTTCTAAGGCCACATCAGAAGAAGCCTTTGCAATTCTCACCTGGCTCTCAGGTAAGGCTTGCTCTCGGTCTGACTACTTTGAGACTGCCATAATGTGAGGAAGTCCAAGCTAGCCACATGGAGAAGTCTGGAGGGAGACCGAGAGATCTGGTCAAGCTCCAGCTCTTCTAGTTATTACAGCTGTGGCATCAGAGGTGTGAGTGAAGGAACCATTCTGAACTTTCAGCCCAGCTGAGCCTATAGATGACTCCAGCCACTGCTTCCACCGAACTGCAACTACACAAGCAACCCCAGGCCAGAACCACCCACCCAGCTGAACCTGATCAACTCTATAGACCCATGAGAGGGATAATAAAAATATAAAGCCATTATTTTTTAAGGTGACTTGCTATGCAGCAATAGATAACCAGAACACCTTGCATTGCTAATGCCATTTGGGTTTGGACCAGAAGTCCAGGGTGATGTGGAGATTTTAAAATCAGCTTTCTCACAAACAGGACCAAGCCAGGCAGCCTCTCAGAGCCCAGAGAGTGGGTGTTTCCTCTGAGACAACCTCTCCAAACCAGCTGAGGAGCCACTGAGAGCATTTGCAGGGGACCTGTCGAAGGAGGACCTCACTGCCCTTCTCTCTGGACAGCCCTCCCTCAAGTCATTCACAGACCTTACCTCTGCCCTTGGTTTCTGATCAGCTCCCAAAAAGTGAGGTCACAAGGCCCCAGAGTGTCCCTGAGGGACCCACAATGGGTGGGAACAGGGCTGCTTCTAGGCCCAGGGCTATGCAAACAGTTGACTGGTCAAGACAAGATGAACAGACATGAGCATGTCCAGATACTTGGTTAGAAATTTGACATTGCCATGACAACTAAGCTTTGAGGCATGGACTTGTCTCCTCGAATAGGAAACCGTATACAATAAAACTGAGTATTGTCAGCTTCTGAGATGTGTCACATTTGACCTGAGAAGCATCCTGGTCATATGCAGAGGAACCGCATATTGTCCACGAGGGACATCTAGTTTCAGAGCTTGTACTGTACCTCTGTGCATCCCCCTCTGGGAGGAGCCAACCCAGGGGCATAAATGCCATTGGCGAGGGCACTGTAGGCTGAGTCTCAGTTCCCGGGCTCACTCCCCTGGCACCACAGCCGGTTCTTTGTGCAGCACATAGATTGCATGACTGTCATGGCAGCCACGGGTGGAGGCTTGGCCCTGCAGTAAGAACTTGAGCAGCCAACCCTCTCCTTCCTCCCTGAAGCTAGACCTTTGGAGGCACAGGGCTTGCCTCACAAGAGAAATCTGATTTCCTGCCTCTTAAGGAAAAAGAGCTGAAGGATTCTAGGATTTTGCATGTCTTTTTGTAAAACAAGCTGGCGACATCAGATCTTAGAATCAGTGCCTTGAATTTCATGCACAAGACCTGCAGTTAGCAAATTCACTTAGAACAGGTTTTTTTTTTTTTTTAAATATCTGAGGAAGAGTCAGAAAGCTCAGTGGACCCCAAGTACCAGAGACGGGGAGCCAGCTGGCATGGGTGTGAGATGCTCTCACACTGTGGCTTTCACTGCATTTCTCCGATGCATTTGCATTGCCTTCTAAACTGGTTTTTACTTAAATAATTTAGTATAAAAACACAAACTCACAGGGACCACACATTAAACATCTGCTGTGATAGACACTGTGCTTGGGGCTCTTATGACACAAAATCACCTTAATTTCATAACCTCAGTCAGGAGAGTGGGTGTGGTGGGCAGAATAATGCCACCGACATTAAGAGATTACCCTGCCTTATCTGTAATCACAGGGTCCTTTAAAGCAGAAGGGGAAGAAGTCAGGGTTAGAGAGAGGTTTGAGATGCCACCTGCTGGCTGTGAAGGGGACTATGGCCAAGGGATGTGGAAAGTCCAAGGAAAAGATAAGAAACCATTCTCCCTAGGCTCTCCAGAAAGAACACAGCTCTGCTGACAACTTGAGTTTAATCCAGTGCAAACTTCTGATTCCAGAACTACAAGGTAATGTATTTGTGTTCTTTTAAGCCACTAACTTTGTGGTAACTTGGTACAACAGCGATAGGAAACTACTACAATGGGGTTCAGAGAGGCTTCGTAACTTGCCCAAGATGCCGCAACGTTGAGATCCAATCCCAGGTCACTCTGATTCCAGAGCCCCTTGCTCTTTCCCTCTGCTCCACACTGCCCCCTGCTGACACTCTCGGTGGTGTGAAGCTGGGGGAGGAGGGAGATCCAGGCACTGGGTTGCCTGAGGAAATGGAGAAGAGAAACACAAATGGAGAGAAGAGTGGTCTGTGACCCTGTTGGCCAAAGGTGGGCCTCCACTTTCGGCAATAGCTCTGAACAAAACTCTTCCTCCAGGCTCCAGGGGTCATCCTGACCCCAAACAAGGATGGTTCACTTCAGGGCCAGTGTCCGAGACCAGGGCCCACCACCTGCGGGGATGTATGCATCTGGGGGGTGGGAGGCCTCCTGCGAGTCAGTCAGTAGGAGAGGTGCAGGTCTGAGTGCCACTGCAGCACGTGGGAAAGGTGCTGGCTTCCTCTGGGCTTCAGCTTCCTGATGAATCAAAAGGGGTGATAATGCCTACTCTCCATCGGGATCCCGCTGCCGATCCACGGCAGTCCCCTTTGTCCATGAATTTATAACGGCTGCCCATTACTGGTCATCCCAGTTGCCCTCCAGACTTGAGCTGAATGCTTCTTTGTAACTCCCACTGCATCTGTCTTGTGGGTTCAGATACCTCCCAGCGCCAGGATGGTTCCAAAGGACCCGGGACAGTGTGTCTTGTATTTGTCATGCTTTCGTTCCTCCATTTTAACCTCAGTGGGCACCTTTCCCATCCTTTCATCCGCACAGAAGAGCCAAAGAGCTGTTCTGGTCACACAGGGGTAGAGCGTGGTGTTCGTCCCTGATCCCTCAGAAAGAAGGCTTGTTACAATCAGAGAGGGTGGCCAGCACAGCTTCACTAAAGGTTTCCAGTGGCAGGCCGCAGGGCTCTGGGCTGGCACTGGGCCTGGTCACTGGGCGCCTGACGGAGATGAAGACATGGAAACTAGCTAATCAGATTTGCAGAATGTGCTGACTCGCTCCGGGGCTCCTAGGCACCCCGCCCAGGATGACGGTGCCAGGCACATTCCCACAGAGGTTGGGGTGTCTGCTGGAAGCTGAGTAGCCGGGGCCCACTTACTCTGCTTGGGAAACATATGACATTTCTGGGCTAGTGATTCATTTCATCTGGGACCTCAGGGTGTCCTGCCGACATACGATACAGCAGTCTTTGCAAGGAGCCCACAGGCATGTCTTCATTAAGTCCTGAGTGTCAGGAAGGCCACCCAGAATGGAGAGCTGGGCCTGGGCAGAATTTGGAGTTGGGTGCATTGGCTGGAGCCCCGGGAGGCCTGGGTGCGGCTGTGCCCCGCTGGCTGCCCTGCAGGGACAGCAGACAGGGAGGCGGGCGGGAGCCGCCGCAGTGCACTCTGCCTGCAGGAGCTTTCTCGCCCACCAGAGCCCAGGAGAAGGCTCCTGCCAGGTGAGCTTCGTTCACGGCTGGGCCCTGCACCCGGTACTCGAAAGTCACCTTCCCGGTGGGATCTTCCCTAGTCACCTCGTCTTAGCTTTCACCCTCTGCCCCACCCCAGACATTTCACGTTCCCTTTCTCGCCTTAACTTGTACCACCGGCTATGATATATTTATTGTACTTATTTATCTTGTTCATTGCGTGTGTTCCTCCATAGAATATAACTCCATGCAGACAAGGAGTTGTCCACTTCTTCACTGAGGTGTCCCCACCACCAAGCACAATGCCTGGTACAGGGTAAGGTACTCAAAACGTATTTGTCAAATGAATGAATGAATGAGTGAATAAATGAAACCAGGCCCCTGTATAGATGACTCCCTCTGAGGCACCAGTGAGGACTGGTGGTTAAGGAACTGATGTTCTCACAAAGCAGCAGTGGCGAAGGCGCTTCTGGAGGCGGGCTATGAGCTGTGAGAAGCAGACAGGTCGAGCTCCATCTCTGGCATTTCCCAGTTCTGCAAAGTGGGGCAGCTAACAGCTCTTCCAGTTCCTTCTTCCTCAAAATGGGGATGACACAGTGACCTGAGAGGCATAAAAGGCACGGAGGGGGTCCTTTTGGCTGGAGGTCCCTGAGGTTACTCATAGCTGGAGCACACTGTCCATGGCCTCTGTCCTGAAGGAGCAGAGGAGCCAGGAGCATGAGCCGGGCTTGGGTAATTGGCCGTGGGTGGAGGGTCTGGAGGTCCTGGGGGAGGCGTGAGTGGGAGGTGGGCAGGGTGAAGGGAGCAGGACCAGGAATCCCAAAGAGAAGGTTAGGTACCTGGAGGTAGACTCTGTGCAGGAAGTTTAATGGGGGTGCTCTCAGAATCAGCACCTGGGAGAGAGGGACAGCAGCAGAGGGAGCGGGAGAGCTACACCAGACCTCAGACTGGAGCTAGGTCTTTGCAGCCCCGCACCCATCACTCACAAACACAGGCTGCCCCAGGAAAGGGCCAGCCTCGAGGCCTCGGGGGGATGGCTCTCTTCAGAAGAGGGTAACCCATCACCTTCCCATCACCAGCAGTTGGGGATAATCCTTCAGATTTTAAGGAGACTTTGGGTGGGGCAGCAGTGTCCATTGCAGTGGGTCATTAGGGCAGAGCCAAACTCAGCTGTCCTAGCTCCACTGTGGCCACAGGGCCCCCAACCTTTGACCTTTGTGACCTCTAGCTATTCCCTTTCCATTTTTCCTCTTCCCCTCGATCCATCCCCCACCCGCACCCCCACCTTTTCTAGTGGCATCTGCAGGGAGGGGTGGGAGTGTGAGGGAGTGAGGGAGGAGGGGGAGGCTGAGAGTAAGACAGTGGAGCATTTTGTGCAGGTCAAAGGGCAGAGAGTATGGCTGAGGAACGGTGGGTGTGGACTGGGGGCCTCCCAGCTCTGCTGCCTGCCGGCCGGTGGCCTGGGGAATCCTCCCTCCCCTCTGGTCTTCAGCTTCCTTACTTGCATGGCGGGGCTTGGGCGTGGGAGCACAGAGGAGGTGTGGATGGAAAATGCATGAGCGCCTGTAGACAGAGTCAGCGTGTGCACTGGTGTGTGCAGGAGCCAGCAGCTCCCTGCTGTGCTGCCAGGAACTGCACCTTGGAGTCCTGTCTCTGGGGAGTGGAGAGCTGGCCTCCTTCCCTGGAGAATGGAGGGGGTGCTGGAGTGGCCCCCAGGGCAGCGGACATTGGTCCCTCTTGCCCCAGTGTTGAGGCCCATGGAGGACTCCTGGCTGAGGGAGAGTGGGTGATATGTAGCTGGAGAGCGTTATCACAGCCAAGCCCAGGAACAAAACCCTGGGTCCCCCCAACGCCTGCACAGCCAATCCAGGGCTGATGAAAACAGCAATTATGAGCTGTGTTATTAAAGGCTGCCGGATTTTAATTAACAATGGAATCACCTGGTGGTGGGATCCGGGGAGGGAAGGGATAATGATGGATTGCTGGAAGGCAGGCAGGGCTGTTGTTTCAACTTCTCTCGGCCCCTGGTAGGTCTGGAAGGCAGTGAGGCCAGCTTTCCAGTCTCTAATGAGGAGCATTCGCAGGTGCTCAGGGCCAGGTTGGCCAGAGGTGTGTGTGTGTGTGTGGGGGTGCTTTTAAGGGGCACCTTCCAACCCAGGGCTGCAAGGTGTGGGTGCAGCTGAGAAGGGGGTTCAGAGATGGGTATTGGTAGGCAGGGCCAGGAGGGGAAGCCCAGCAGGACCCAGGGGTCCCCAGCTACAAGGTGTATTAGAAAGGAGGTTATGCTCCCCACTTGAGTCTCCAACCAGAGCCCCAGAATCTCCTGGGGCCCCTTATACAGCTGGTAACCAGGTCCCATCTCATGAGTACGTTAACAAGTATCCTGACCACATTTGAGTTTCAAAACCAATGAATTTGAGGCCATTGGTTTTCAAAGCTTTTTTTTTTTTTCCCTGCCTCAGCAACTCTTGCTTCAAATGAAACCTTACCAGGAAGGCAAATGAACCCAACAGATCAACACCAGTGTGTTCGGTCAAGGTAGGTGGGGGAGGGGAGTCTAAACCCCTGGCCCTTGCCCACTCAAATCAGCAAATAGCCTCAAAGATTTGTTCAAACAAGTGCAATGTCTTTCCCATCTCTGGCACCTTCCCCTTCTGGGCAGTTCAGAGTGGGGCCCAAACCCTCAGAGCTGGACAGGACAGGGCAGGCAGGAGCTGAATTTCTGCCATTTAAGAAGATTTTAAGCCAGGAAGGACAAACCAAAGGAGTTTTCTGGCTCAGGGTAATGAAGGCAGGCTCTGGAGTCAGACTACCCGTGTTCAAGTCCCAACTCTGCTATTGGCTTTCTGGGCGATGTTGGGCAAGTTACTGTACTTCCTAAGCCTCAGTTTCCTCAACTGTGAAATGGGTATGCGGCAGGATGCTGAGACCTCTCCTCAAAAGGCAATGTCATCACCCCACCCAGTCTGTCACCTTATAGAATGTTCTGGCACTCTTGTGAAGAACAAGCATCCACCTGGGCCAAGCCCCTAGGACCAAGCTTGTTAGGTAGTGAGTGGTCAGAAATGTCTGCTATGACTGTCTAGGCCATAGGGGGTTGGATGTCCTCCTAGGACAGACCAACCCAGAGTCCTCTGACAGAGCCTATGCATTTAAATCCTCAGCTGGGGGTGTTCAAATCCTGCCTCCAGCACTTCCCACTTGCGTGATCTTCAGCAAGACACCTGCCCCTCGGCCCACCTCCAGAGGGTTGTATGAGCATGAAATGAGACGGCATGCCTGATCCAGTGGGCCGTTCGCAGGCTGCGTCGTACTGGACTTCCAGTAGCACTTGACACAGCCGACCTCTCTCCTCCTGGAAGTACCTTCTCCACTTCAGTGACCCTGTGCTCTTCTCCCCTCCCCTGGCTACTCCTCAGCAACTCCGGTGTGGGCTGGATGGACGGGCTTCAGGGCCTGGCATTGTCTGGGAGGACAGGCTGTTCTTTCAGCCCCACCTTGGTAGCCGGGGTAGATGGGTAATTCTCTTAGTTTTTCTGGCTCAGGATCAGCGGTGGGCAGATCTTTGCTTTGACTTCTCCTTTGAGGCCTGGATTGTCTCTTTAGTTCAGCTCTGATGTTCCTGCCACCAAGCAGCTCTCTGGGTCCAACTCCTGATCCATGTCCAATAAACGTTTATTAAATCACCAACCAGAGCAGGTGAGTCAGCTCAGAGAGCTCCTACATTTCCTGGCCACATAAGCGTAAGTGCCGTGGGAATACCTGGAAGTGGTGCCTGGAGCCAGGGTGTCCCCGCATTGTGACAAGTAGCAGTAACACTGTTTACTAAGCACTTTCATAGACGTCATTATTTGCTAAGCATTTTTACATTATTCCACTTGGTCCTCTGAGCTGGTGTTTTTATTTCTGTTTTATAGATGAAGATCCTGAAGCATAGAGATGTCGACAGACCATTTGCTCAAGTAGCCCTACCCCTGAAGATGTATTTAAAGAATCGGACAAATAATTATTTGTGTATGGGGGACACAGCTTAGTACTAAAATGCTAGTCAAAAATTGCATGTAAATTGGAAGGAGAGTGATTTAAATTAAGGAGTTCAGGGGTCCTCATATTTGTCAGGAGGAGGAAATAAATTAACTTTAGGATTTATTAAGTGCGCATGTTAAAATAAGTAGCATAATGGCTAAAAGAATAGACATGTAATATATAACTGAAACAAATGGGAGGGAGGTGGGAAAATAAAATGAAGAAAAGAGATAAAAGCTCTAAAAATCTCAATTACTCTTGGTGGATGTGTTATTGTTCAGAAAATATTCACTCTGTCTTCCCACCTTCCCATGAGAGGAGTTTAGTTCCCCACTTCATTGTTGTTGAGCTTGACTGCGTGTTTTAGCCAATGGGATGTGAGTAGCTGTTAACACAAGGCTTTAAATGTCCTCGAATAACGTGGCTTTGTCTCATGTGCTTCTGCCTCTGCCACCTGCCCCAGAAACCCTCGCTGCTTCAGCCTGGTCCCAAGGAGAAGTCTTAGACTATACCCACAATATGGAATAACAAAAAGATCGGGCAGAGCTATAGCCTCAGATCTGAGAATGAGAAATACATTTTATTGTTGTTAATCCTCATCCAAGGATATTTTTCCATTGATTTTTTGAGAGAGTGGAGGGAGGGAGGAAGAGAGAGAGAAGGGAGAGAGAGAGAGAGAGAAAGAGAGAGAGAAACATCAACTTGAGTGACACACACATCAATTGGTTGCCTCCCACATGAGCCCTGACCTCGGCAGGGATCAAACCTGCAACCCTGGTACATGCCTTTGACTGGAACTCGAACTCGAGACCCTTTGATCCAGGGGCCAATGTTCTAACCACTGAGCAACCAGCCATGGAAGAAAAACTTTTTTTTTATAACCCTCTGAGACTTTGGCATTGTCTGTTATTCAGGATTATTGCAGTAATATTTAATCAATGTACAGATCAAAAGAAGACAAGAAAAGTAGGGGAGAAAAAAAGCAGAAAAGGAGGTCAAATAAGAAAACATTATAAGATGTTAATAAATCCAAATTGATCACTAAAATATAAATGGACTAAACTCTCTAAAAGATAAAGATAAAAGTAAAGTCACTGAAGAAACCACAGGCAGCAAAATCTCAGACGTATCTTGTAGCGATATGTTTACAGATACAGCTTCTAAGGCAAAGGAAACTAAGGAGAAAACAGACAAATGGAACTACATCAAAATAAAAAGCTTCTGCACAGCAAAAGAAACCACCAACAAAAGGAAAAGGGAGCCCACTGCATGGGAGAACATATTTGCCAATGATACATCTGTTAGGGAGTTAATATCCAAAATATATAAGGAACTCATACAACTCAACAAAAGGAAGATAAACAATCCAATTTAAAAATGGGCAAAGAACCTAAATAGATACTTCTCCAAAGAGAACATACAGAAGGCCAAGAGACATATGAAAAAATTCTCGAAGTCACTGATCATCAGAGAGATGCAAATTAAAACAATGAGATAACACCTCACACCTGTCAGAATGGCTACCATCAACAAATCAACAAATGACAAGTGCTGGCAGGGATGTGGAGAAAAGGGAACCCTCGTGCACTGCCGGTGGAAATGCAGACTGGTGCAATCATTATGGAAAACAGTATGGAGTTTCCTCAAAAAATTAAATATGGAACTGCCATTTGACCCAGTGATCCCACTTCTAGGAATATATCCTAAGAAACACGAAGCACCAATCAGAAAGAACATATGCACCCCTGTGTTCACAGCAGCACCATTTACAATAGCTAAGATCTGGAAACAGCCCAAGTGCCCATCGGTAGATGAGTAGGTAAAACAGCTGTGTTACATTTATACCATGGAATACTATACAGCAGTAAAAAAGAAGAATCTCTTACCCTTTGAGACAGCATGGAAGGTCCTGGAGAGTGTCATGCTAAGTGAAATAAGTCAGTCAGAGAAAGACAAGTATCACATGATCCCATTCATATGTGGAATCTAAGTAACAAAATAAACTGATGAATGGAGTGGATCCAGAGACATGGAAGCATGGAACAGAGTGTGGAATCTCAGAGGGAAGGCGGGGGAGAGTTGGTGGGTGGGAGATAATCAACCAAAGACCTTGTATGCATATATGCATAACCCATGGACACAGGGTGCTGAAGGCCTGGGGCAGGGGGCAGGGGTGGGATGGAGGGGGTCAGTGGGGGACATATGTAATACTTTCAACAATAAAGAATTATTTTAAAAAATTAAGTTCATGTAAAAAAATAAAAGATAAAGTCATTAAAATAAAATTCAACCATATACTATTTACAACGGACACACAAAAAAACCATAAGGACACAGAGATAGAAAGTCAAAGGATGATGCCCTGGCCAAGTAACTCAGTTGGTTAGAGCGTGGTCCCCATACACCAAGGTTGTGGGTTCGATCACAGTCAAGGCATCTACAAGAATCAACCAATGAATGCATGAATAAGTGTAAGAGCAACTTGATGTTTCTCTTTCTCAAAAAAAAAAAATCAATCAATAAAGAAAGGTCAAAGGATGGAAAATATATTCTAGGCGAATGAAAAAGAAAAATGGGAAGGCCATATTGAGGTCAGAAAAAAAATTAACTTTAAGGCCAAAAGTGTTACTAGAGATAGAGGGTCAATGAAGATTAAAAAACAGTTCATTCACCAAGAAGATAGAGAAATTCTCATCTTTACACATTAATAACATAGTCTAAAATATTGAAAGCAATATTGACACGCATAAAAGGAAATATGAAAGTCTGTTATAATGGGACAGCTAACATTATTGCTCATCGATAGATATAAAAGGCTAAGTGACCGCCCAACCACCAGACTGTCTGACCAGTCACTATGACACGCAATGACCACCAGGGGGCAGATGCTCAACACAGGAGCTGCTGAGCTGCAGTGACTTGGCAGCGGCTGTTCTTGGGTGACGCACCCCAGAACCAGAGAGGAGGGAGCCCGATTCTGGGTGCGTCACCAGAGAACTGCCCTCACGCAATCCGGGACCCCTCAGGGGATGTCGGAGAGCTGGTTTCAGACCGATCTCCGCAGACCAGGCCAAGGGACCCCCACCTGCCGGAGGGACCCCACTCACTCCACAGACATCCTTCGAGCCACGGCGCTGCCCCAGATGTGGCCCCGGGGAGGGATCACAGGAGGTTGGCTCCAGGGCATGTTTGGCCCATCTCACCCAGTCCCGTCCCACTGGCCACCTTCTAATTGATTTCCTTTCAATATTCACGAATCCATGCACCAGGTCACTAGTAATAACATAAATCAAGTAGATTGAAAAAAAGAAAGCACTTAAAAGATTCAATAGGAAGTATAACAAACTTGATCAAGTGGATATGTTTAGTGAAAAAAAAAAGCCACAGAAAGATGTATGCACTATGAGTCCAGTTATCTTTAAAGTCACAGACAATCAAAATGAAACAATATATCACTTAGGGATATATATGTGGATGGTTTAAAGGAAAAGCAAGGGAAAAATTAACCTGAAATGTGGAACAGTGGTTACTCCCAGGGACACACAGAAGGATTCTAAGGTTCTAGTTCTTCAGGTGAATATTTGGGTGTTAAGTTAATGTTTATTATATAAAATGTATCGATACATTTAATCCATTCTGGGTATAGCTGATATATTTCACAATAAACATCGTTTTATCAAAAAGCCTCAGAGGGGTGACTTCTCTGTGGTTTTGAGCCCTCATCTGGACAGATAGGTGGCCTGACTCATGGGAATAAAGAGCTTCTTTCTAAACAGATAAATCAGGATGGGCAACAAAATTTGGCTTAGTTCATTAAGTGTGTGTGTGGGGTGGGGGGGAGGGAAGGGGAGGAATTGGTCCTGTTCAATTTGGTATTTTTTTCCAGATGGTTTTCATTTCAGGAGACAGCCTGAGCATCATCACTGTCTCTCATTTGCTGAAACAAGTTCCCCACAAATAAGGGCATGTTTCCATCTTGAGCTGCTGTTTCTGCAGCTGCTATTGTGGCGTCTCCTTTCTTGCCTTGGGCCCTGTTTTGTTCCACCCTCCCTTCTCTTGTTCTGCGTAATCTCCTTTACTTAGTTTCAGAGTTGGAGGAGAATATCGTCCCATGCACAAATTCTGCCAAACCCACCCCAGGTGGGCAGAGGTGCAGCTTCTGCTCACATACCTTCCCTGTCAGGGAACTCACTCCTTCAAGTGTGCTTCCTGATTTGAACCCAACTCTAAGAGCCTATAGCATCTACCCGTTGCTGATGGTTCAACAATCTGGGGTCCCAGATCATAGTCTGTCTACCTTCTCTTCCTTGGATATTCTGCAGATGGTTGCCCTCCCCGCCACCGCCAAAGCCTCCTCTTTCTGAGAAAACTTCTTTCATTCCTGTTCTTTCCCCACATCATTGCCGACTTGTCTGAAAACTAAATCCCCTCCATCCTGTGTGGGACTTTATGAGGCCCTGGGAATGTTTCTTACAGGCTTTGGTCAGAATGTGAGTGGGCCTGGATATGAGGCAGAGGGACCAGTGGGAGGGCAGGGAGATGAGCCTGGGGGCCTGTAGGGAGCTTGGGGCAATAGACCAAGTACAGACCCTGGTCTCCCAGGGCTGCAAGGTGCCAGCTTGGCTGGGCAGCAAACACTCCTCTAAAGATCCATGGGAGCTCAATTCATCTACCCCTGGAGCCCTCATTTGTGACGATGTCAGCCCCCCATTCACAGGCTTCCTCACATGCTGGCACTGTGGTGGCCTCCGTGTCTTTGGGCCGTCCATGCCTGGCCAGTGAGTTCCTCTCCACACCACTCAGCCCCTTCCCCCAACGGTCACACCTCAGCCATGTCATTAACTTGAACTTGAGCCCTGAAATTAACAAAAAAATTAGATTTTAATCAAAGTCATAAAGGCACGTGAATTTAGCCTGGCCAGTGTGGCTCAGTGATTGAGCTTTGACCTATGAGCCAGGAGGTCACAGTCTGATTCCTGGTTAGGGCACATGCCTGGGTTGCAGGCTGGATCCGCAGTAGGGGTCGTGCAGGAGGCAGCCGATCAATGATTCTCTCTCATCATTGATGTTTCTATCTCTCTCTCCTTCTCCCTTCCTCTCTGAAATCAATAAAAATATTTTTTTAAATGAAATTTTTAAAAAGACACATGATTTTTTTTTAAAATGATCACACGGAGGGGCTTATACAAGGAAAAGCAGTCGAGTCCTGCCCACTCCTTCCCGCCCACGTCCCCTTCTTTAGCAACACCCCTTGTAACGATTTTGCTCTCCCTTCTTCCTGGAGGTTACATTCCTATCTCTAAGAATGTAGTCGTATCACTTGTATCTGTCAGCACTTTGAATTGTAAGCAACAGAAGCCAACTCTGGGTAATTTCAGTAGGAAGGGCATTCATTAGAAGTATATCCGGAGAGTCACAAAATCAATGGGCAGCTGAATACCCAGGAGGTAGGGGGACCCCATAAGAAGGATACCCCAATTCACACCTGGTATTGACCTGGTGAAGACCCCTGTAGGGCCCAGAGACACTGTAGCCTACGGTTCCAGCACCCCAATGCTGGGCACTGCTCTGTGGTCCCTGCCACTTCTAGAAGCTCAGGGTGGCTGCTCCAAGCAGCCTCTAGTCTCATCAGAATGGAATCTGTGCAGTGTCTGCTGCTCCAGCTCCCGGCTTTTGTAGCACCGTCTGAGCAAGAGCATCTGATTGACTGAGCTGGGGCATGAACCTGACCCTGGCTGCATGGGAGGCTGGGAAAGAGTATTGGCGTTTTCTCCTCCTATGGCTCTGTGTGTGTGTGTGTGTGTGTGTGTGTGTGTGTGTGTGTGTGTGTGTCCCCGAACAATGGAGAGGGGCTCGGATGCTCAGTGACCAATAAGGATGACATATGTCTACCACCTTGGTATTTCTTGATTTATCAATTTTAGATATCTGAAGACTTCTTGCTCTGTGTGAGATCTGAAGATTTAACTCATCTATCCCCACTGCCCTTCCAACAGAGTTAGTCCCATTTTTATTACTCTATTCTTTATCTTCAGAACTTTCATTGTTTCATCAATCATTGACAATCTGCCACACAAGATAAGGCTATGGATGCCTCTCCCACTTATGTCAACTCTCTTCCTCACTCTCCCCTGCCTACACCTGTCATTTCCATTGTGGT